GCCGCATCACCAACCGCGGACAGGCAAAGTGACCCACATGCCCCACTTGCCCGGTTCCGGCGACACCCCGCAGAGCGCAGCCGGCGTCGCCTCCCAATGGCTGCCTCCGATCGGCAGTGGCGGAGGTACACCTGTCGGGGTGCGCGAAGCACCGCCCCTTGAAAATGGCGTCGGGGCGACGTGGCCGGGCGAGGCACCGCTCGTCCGCCGCATATTTTACTTTCCCAAAGAGCTTAGGGCCCCACTTGCTCTCCCCTCCGACCGAATCCGCCTCCACCTTCCGCCCTACGAGGGCGCCACCGCCCCGTCGCTTGCACCCGCATCAATCGATCCGACCAAAATCCAGCTCAAATCCCTCGCCTCGCCTCGCCTCGCCGTGCCCCGGCTGGTGCCCGCTGGCCCGCCTCGTTCCTCTCGGTGTCGGATTGGAGAGATCGATTCCCATGGCCCTGCCTTGTACAGTAGCCAGCTGCCGCTTGCTGTTGCATCTGTGCAGCTGGTGCATGGTCTCCCCTCCCAAATCGTAGTCGCCGCCGGCTCACCATTTGTCCATATCATTGCTCACCACGGCTCCCATCCCTTCTGGTTGCTTTGGCGTTGATTGATTTTGGCGTCTACCCGTCTAGGGTTTCAAGCTCAGCGTCGGCGTTTCAGGTGAAAAATCTATTACTCTGCGTGATTTTGTTTCCCTCCTAGGTAATCGAGTGTAGCTGCTGAGTTAATTGTATGCATGTGCAGCTCTGTGTAGTTTTTGTTATCTCCCGTGTTAAAACTTCGATTGGCTAACCTCTTAGCATAAAATTACGAGCTCCTTGCTTGATCCAGACGCAGGTGCAGGCTGGGCTAGATGTTTTTATTTATTTAATTTTGGGCACTGAAAGTGATACTCGGCGTTGCTGAGTTTTTGCATTGCGAGGATTCAATCTTAGGAGATTTATTTAGTTGTCGCGCTTGATGTTGTAATTTGTGCCGCAATGTTGGAGATGCCCTTCGAGTTCTGCATTGTTGTTGGTGGGTGTCACAGTTTTCCTTGATTCTAGGGATGCCATGCTTTCGGTAGTGGCACCCCTATATGTTATCATGTTGTGAGCGCTGAGAGCCATAGATGTAGTATCAGAAACTTAAGCTGTGTTGTAGTTTGTTGTTTCATGATTCTGGATTTTGTGAACAATAACCGTGGACATCTCAAGTATAATGACCAGAAATGGAGGAGGATGAGTATTTTTGTTTTGCAAATAGTGGATTATAATTTGCACATCATTTGTTCCTATTTGTGATGGTTCCACAAGCTTTGGGTTGTAATACCCTATTTGTATTTGGTTTGCATGCTCTTCATGCATAGTTCATGTATAAGTATGCCACGGGTTATGCTCCTATATGCCACTAAAATTCAGCGTACCCTTCTCGGCTGTGAATGTACAATTCAATGAAGAGCAACTGCAGAAATATCGCAATTGTATTTCTTTGGATGGCTTACTCAGTCAGTTTAAACCAGGTTTTTAGAACGTCTTCAGTGCTTTTGTAGCAACTATGCGTTTATGCAATAGCTTCAGATTTTGAAAAGGCAATTATTATTGCAATGGTGGAGGTTTGGCATATAAAATGGTCACTGGAGAACTGGATTGTTTCACTAAAATTTAAAGCATGTGTAAGGATGAATTGTTTCACTAAACATCATGATCCGTTGCATGTTTCATGCTACTGCCAAAATATATTAATTTTCACCATTTGGAAAGGAAAATACAACACTGGTCCTCCTTTGTGATTTGACCAACATCTTTTGTGGAAATTGTGGTTTGTGGGGTTGGCGTGCTCTGTATTCAAACATTGCAATTTGCACGCTTAGTAGCTGTCATTGGTGTTTTGACATTTCTGTGTTCGATATGCAATAATTAGTACAAATCCACTTGAGTTGGCCGAGGCTCAGTGTCATTTATTGAAGTTCAGACTCCGCAACAGAACCAAATGATTACATTGGTTTGTAGAGAGGCTTCTACTGGTCTGCCTTAACCAAAGCTTCTTCCAGGAGCAGGTTATATTAACAGGTACTTTCCTGTTTGTTTTCTAGTTCTTGAAGGGGAAATACCCCTTGGCCCTTGGGCGTATATGCACCTGATATGGGAAAAAAATAGTATTTGCGAAAAAAGTCAAAAAATTCTGAAACTTTTTTAAAAACAAACATGACCTTCTGGAGGTGTTTGGATTAGAGAATGGTAACGTAAATAGATTACGCTGTTAACGGGGATGTAATGGATAAATCACTGTTTTGTTTGGTTCATGCCTGTAAAGGAATTGAGTTAGGGTGTCTTCTTCGGGGTTCTCATGGCCGGTGGCTGAAAAAGAAGAAGAGCAGACAAGGGATGGGAAGGAGAGCAGACAAGGGATGGGAAGGAGATCAGACAAGGGAGGAGGACGGAGGACTGAG